CGCCTCCCCTAAAGCCTTAGGAAGTAGTGAGCAGACCCTGTCATGCCCCCAGGCCAGGCGCTGCCCAGAGCTGCCACCTTACAGCGCTGTAGTCTCCAGTGGGTCGCTAATCTCTGTGCCATCACCATCTCCAGCCCTGGCTCTTGGCCTCAGGTTAGGGCTTGGTCAAGGCCATGTGAGCCTGATCTCTTTTCTCTCTCCCCCAAAGAAATGAAGGGGCCAGAGGTTCAACAATGGCATCCAAGCTCACACGTGTGCCGGATCCTGTTGGAGACACTGGAGGCTGGACCCAAGAAAGCAGTGGGCCCCTACCCTATGGAGCTGAGAGACAGACAGTGGGCAAGTCACAGAGGTCAGCACCGTGTGGGGCCTGGTGCCATCACTACTTGTGTTACTAAGGGTCCTGGGGAGAGGCCATTCTCCTCCCTCACTGGACAGGGGAAGAAAGTCAGGCATGGCTGGGGAGAAGCTCAGCCCAGGAGCCATGCTGTCCCCCAGGAGTGTGGCAGCCTGTCTGTCCCGTCCCCACCTCACTGGACATTCTCAGGCTGAACAGGCAGCCTTCGGGTGGCCCTGGGACCCAACTCCTACCTAACCCACGTGGCCCCAAGCTTGTCTTCCCTGTTCGGCCCTTGCCTCTGCCGGGGGAGGGGGCGAGTTTTGTAAGTGAAACCGAAGGCACAAAAAATGCAAGTCACCCTGAGAGATTTACCAGAAAAGGGGACTTTTCCCCTCACCCCAGGTCCGTGCCCTGTTCCTGCCCCACGGCAAGTCAGCTGAGAACAGGGGCAGGTAGGGGCCAGCGAAGTGGCCAGATTCCAACGGGCCCCCACTGGTTGTGTGATGGGGGCTGGTGGCTTGGTCTCCGTGTCCTAGTGTGTTCGTTCTTCAGCCCACGAGAGGCTTCTGGGGGTCAAGGGCACTTCAGAGACACCCTGGGAGAGTCAGGCCAGCTCACTCTGACCGCAGCCCCTGAGACCCACGGCCCACAGGCGGACTGCGGATCCCCCATTGGACTGAGGCTGCGGGGAAGGGTGTGGCGGGACAGCCAGTGCCCCTCCACCGGAGCACAGCTGGGGTCCAGCAGCCCGGAGCTGTTTGGCCTCCTTTACAGCTGAGGAGACAGGTTCAGAGAAGGTGTCCCAGCCTCGAGCCCGCCTGGTCACCACTGTTCTTACCTGACCGGGTCACTGTCGCCTCACTTGACTGTGCACGAGTAGGGGGAAATCCACATCTTCTAATGTGGGCTCCGTCCACACAAAAACTGCCCCCTGTGGCCACTGTATGGGACAAGCTCCACCCTGCGGGTGGCTCTGGCCAACACGGGGTGTGTGTAGGGGGTCCTGGAGAGAGGGAGAAGACCACAGAGAAAACATGTTTCTGGTGGGCCAAAGGTGGCGGGTGGGAAGGTCCCCAAGGTATTGGGCAGAACTGGAGCCTATTCTGTGCTTTGAGCCCTTTGGTGGCTCCAACCTGGGAGATCCATTAGTTCTGATTTCCAAGAGAAGACAAGAAGATTGTATTGAATGCAATTGAGAAAACAGACTCGGTTTGTAAACCTGCTCTGTGATGGTGGCCCCCAGAGTCCCCAGCGGTCACTGCATGTGAGTGGTGCATTCGCAGGCCGTCAGAGCAAGGCGTCACTAGGGACTGTCCTGCATGTCTGCACTGAGGGTTTTCCCGGGTGTCTGCTGTGTCATCCCACTTGGTTTCCCTGCTGTGCTTAGAGCTGCTTACCAGGCTGTCCTCTGCTGGACCCAGCCCAGGACACATCTTAAAGGGACCGTGCCCCGTATGTCCCAGCCACCTCCTTGCTTCCAGGGTCTCCTGGAGATGCTGAGCCATTGAACTGTATACTCAGCTCCAGAAGCTGGCCCTGATCCCAGGGTCCATGGGAATTGTCCCCAGGAGGGACAAAGAGGAGGAGGGACCCAGCAAGGGCCATGGCTGAGCCCCCTGGCTCTAACAAAGAGAGCTATGCGTGTGTATGACCAGTTCACACGAGGGCTCCAGCCTTTCTGAGCACACAGACCTTCGTGCCTCGGCTTGTCAGGTGGAGGAGGTCTTCGCAGGGCACAGGGCATTTTTGTCAGCCCTGAGGGAAGGCAGCCAGAGCCAGGGCCCTTCTCCCTACATGCCACCCCACTGCCAGGGCTGAGCACCCCTCTCACCACAGGGACCGTGGAGGTGCCGCTGGGTTCCCAGAGAACATGGTAGAAAACTCCAGTTGTTAGACGGCTCACACCGACTGCACGTTCCTGCAGGGAGCCTGGGAAGCAGTCCGTGCCTGCTGTGCGCCTCTCAGGGCCTGGAGTCAGAACACCGTCTCCGTTCCACAGGGAGAGAACCAGGTTGGAGAGGCGGCATGATACGCCCCAGGCTACACAGCTGCAAGAGGCAGAGTGGCTTGCACAGCAGCTCCTGCCTCCTCCCAGGCTGCCCGCACATGCCTGCTGCCAGTCCTGGGCATGCCCATCCTTTCCCACCCACTGTAGGAGCCTGTGACCTGGCCTCATGGCCAGTGGGGGCTGCGTGTCTGGCAGGTGTTTCCAGGAATCACAACTCCTGCAATATCATGCACAGAGGGAGGCGGCGTGCAGTGGCATGAGCTCTGCATTCCAGGACAGAGGAAGGAGGGCTGGAATGGTGACGAGGAGCTGTGCCATCTGAGCATGCCGAAGACAGGAGGGCGGAGGATCAGAGCACCCAGAGGTTTGCCGAGGTCACCAGTCGGGGTCCTGTGGGAGCAGGGGACACAGGTGGGTCAAGGATGATAACAGGCTGGTGATATGCAGGTGCCTGATGATGTCACTCTGTTCTCCAGGGAGAAGCCACATGCCCAAGGCCATGGGGCAAGGCATAGCTGCCCCAGAAGTCCCCCGGACACCAGGAACCTAGTGGGAGTGACTGGTCATGGCCGTGTGCCATCTGGCACATTGTGTGACCATTCACAGAGCTAACAGAGCAGTCCACTGCCTGGTGGGACGAGCTGGTCCTTCACGCAATGGAATGGACGGGGAGAAGCGGGAAGCCAGCCCCAGCCTCCTCTGTTGAGTCTGGTCCTTTGATCTAGCCCTGCCTGCTTGGACAGTGGACTCTCCCCCAGAGCTCCCCAAGGCCAGGAGGACACTGATGCCACGCTGCACCTATGTCCAGCAAAGCCCTGTCCAGCTGCCAGAGCACAGTGGCAGGGGGAGCAGACACCTCTGCTCTCTGTCCCCAGACCTCAGCCATAGGCTCCTGGTTTTTAAGCTTTTGTTCAGAGCTGCACCTCCCTGCAGCTCCGAGTCCTACAGCTGTAATCTGGCAATGAAAGAGATGCCCACAACATCAAAGAAGGGGCCTTAAACAGGGAATATTCCTTAGTTCTTCCTTCCTGCTGGCTGGAACATGGGTGAAATAGCTAGAGCTCCAATAGCCACAGGGGACCACGAGGAGAGTATGGAAGCCTTGCATAATGGAGCACTGATGGAAAGAGCCTGCATCCCCAGTGCTTGGAGCATAGGCCCTCCCTCGGCTATAAGGCAAAAGAACCCAACCACAACAACAACAAACCGTCTCATTTTGAGGCTGCTATAATTTTGTTTTCTTCTGATACTCGTAACTAGTTTGAAAAAATAGACTCTGCCACTGGCATAAAACCCTCCTGGGTCCCCTCTGGAGCCTGTATACCTCAGGCCCTGTTCTTCCCTCTCGCTCCTCTGGTCCTTTCCTCTCCCTTCCCTCCCTTCTCTTTGTCCCACTGGTCCTTTCTACCTCCGGGTCCTTGTGCTCCCAGTTCCCTCCACCTGAGTCTCCCACCCCCAGCCTCCATGTGGCTGGCTCCTTCCTGTCACCTGACGGCAGGACACCTGTCCCTGCACCTGAATCAGGCCCTCGTGGGTATGTTTGTGTGAGTCGCCTGCTGCCTCCCCCGGCCCAGCCAGAATCACAGCCCCCACATGGGGAGGGAGGAAAGCCAGAGACAGGTGCCACTGACCCTCTGGCCACTCTGGTGTCTGCCAGGACACAGCTTAGCCACGTCCGCTTGGCTCTGCCTGCAGGCATAGTGCCCAGGTGTCCCTTGGCCCAACCCATGCTCAGCAAACCACTAATGACAGGGGCTGCTGGGCTCCTTATTCTTGGTCCCAAGAGTGACCGTTCACTCGGGCCACAAAGCCACTCGGCCAGAGAGTGTAGGCGTGAGGGCGGCCGGCTGGCGGGCAGGTGGTCTGTGGTTTGGTGGAGACACATCCTGTGGCAGCCAGCTCTGGCCCGGACCTCCCCTGCCCCCATAGCTCTGGTCAAGCTGGGCCTTAGCTATTGACCTTGGTTCGTTTGGGGAGCTGTCTGAGGAGCTGGCCAGGCTGGACACCCAGGGCCTAGATGAGATGCCATCTCCTCCTTAGTGTCCCCCTCCCACCCTGTGCACCAGGGTCCGAGGGCCCCCCTCAGCCTTCTCTCCTGAGACCCTTCCCTACAGAAGTTCAGGAGGTAAAGAGGGTCACCTGCATCTGGGACACTTCCCCACCAGTCTTGGGCCATCAGGGCCCAGAGCTGTGAGTTACAGCTGCTTTCCTAAAGAACAGGAAAAATGGAGAGTCACCACCCAAAGGCCAAGTGCAGCAAGAGCTGCTGATGCCAAACCAACACCAAGGTCATGGCTTGGGGTGCAATTTCTCGGTATGGGGTTGTTGTGTCTTCGCAAGGAGGGGAAACCGAGGCTCTGAGAATGAGATGTGAGTCCACGTCACCCGAGTCCTCCACAGGGGCCAGGAGCCACCTCTTGTCTTTGGAGACCCTTCCCTGTCTCCCCGGGAAAGTGCAGCCCATCTCAGATCCCAGGCCGACCCCGGCTTTGCTCCTCTGAGGCAGGGATTGGACAGCCCACAGCCTGTGCCCTTTGACCCTCATCGCAGTTCTATCCGAATGTCATCAGCCTTTGCTTGGAGGGGCCTTGCTACAGGTCTCAAATGTGGCCACACATCAGAACCGCCACGGGGCAGGGAAGCAGTTGGCAGGCCCAGCCTGGCCTCTCTCCTGAGGTTAGAGGCAGGTTGGAGGCCCCTCTGTGAGTCTGGGCAAGGCCATCCTCAGCAGCCCTGAGGTCAAGATTGGGCCACATTGGACCAAGGGAGCTGGGCAGAGAAGTCCCTGTCCTTGAGTCACCGCCACGGGCAAGCCAGGCCCAGCGCCTCGCCCAGACCCTGTCCATTGTCCCTTAGCAGGAGGCAGGGGGCCCTCTGCTGTGGACAGCCAGGATTCAGGGGTGTGGCAACTTAGAGGTGGCCATGGCTCAAAGCACCATTTTTCATTTTCTTATTTGCATAATTGGGAGGAGGAGGAGGAAAGGAGGACTCTGTGTGGGCAGGCTCCCTGTGCACTGGGAGGTACTGGAATGGGCTGATGGCGACCACTGTGGCTGGCCAGAGCATCTGAGGGCTAACACGTTGTGTTGTCTGGCAGGGTGAACGAGTGACCGGTGGGCTGTGTGCGTGGTCAGGGAATGGTGACACGGGCGAGCTAGGTGCTAGGAGGATCAGGGCAGAGCAGCCGGTGACGGAGCCGGGGCTCCACTTTCTCCACACCCTTCACCCTGTGCCCTCTGGCCACTGTCACCTGTTCTGATGGCTCCATCTGAACACGTGGGGCCCTTCACGTCTTTCCTCCCTGTTTGCCCCAACTCTGGCCACGGCGGGGGATTCTGTTCCTTTCTTTTCTTTTCACCAAGGCTGATAGGAACGACATGGATTCCACTGGAAGGAGGTGGATGGGAGGCCTAGGAGTCTCTGGGCCTGTGAGGACAGGGTTCCCAAGTAGGGGCCAGGCGTGCCCTCGGGGCTGCTGCTCAGGGGGTGCCAGAGGACTCCACGGGGCCAGAGCTGCTCTGTTCAGGCAGATCCCACCAAGAACCAGGCCCTGAGCAGGACCCGCCGGCTTCTCTTGGGGCAGCTGCCCAACCAGCCTGTGGGCGTTGCCTGTGCTCCTCAGAGGACACAGCCTCTGGGGCAGTTCCCCAAAATGCCACGTTTCCTGTCCCCAGGTCAGATGGCGTCTCGGCTGGCCAGCGGCCCAGCCCCGCAGGCCCACGGCTGGGCAGAGCCCTGGGCAGCCTGCAGTTGGGCTGGGCGGAGGGTATCTCACGAGTGGATGAGAACCCTTCCAACACAAAGGGGCATTTATGGGATGGCGGTGGCCTGTCTCCATCGGAACACAGGCAGGACAGAAATAGCCTTTCACGGAGCGCCAGGAGGGCTGGGCTGGCCTGCTCGGGAGGGTGTCAGTTTTCCAGCTCTGTCTCCAAACTGGGCAACCTGTCCATGTTCACAATAAGCTGCTCACCCTGTCCTGGGCAGGGGACTCCCTGAGACTCTGCTAGTTGAAACAGAGAGAGAGACAGACAGACAGACAGACAGACACAGAGACAGAGAAGGAGGAATGGAGGAAATTACCTACAGAACGACAGAGCCCAGACGAGGGGGAGAAACTAGACACAGGTGAGTCGCCACTGGGACACGCGCCTTGGAGGTTCCAGTGACGTGAATGCCATGACTTGAGGTCTCACCTGCTGTCCGAGGGCCTCCAAATATGGCTTCGCCTTCCTTCTCTCAGTAAGGTGAGAGCAGACAGCCCCATGCTCCAGGGGTGACCCAGGAGTCCCTGACCATCCCAGCCCCTCCAAGCCTGCAAGGGCTTGTGTTATTTCTCCTGCTTATAATAATGTCCTCCAAAATAGGCAGATAAAAAAGAATCAAGTCCCCTGCAGTACCCCGTACCAGTCTGTTTTCTGTTGCCAATGACAGAACTCCACACGGGGTACGTCATGGAGAAGAGAGGTTTATTTGAGCTCACGGTTCTGGCCCAAGGTGGAAGACCTGCGTCTTGTGGTGGCCCTCGTGCTTCAGAGTCCCAAGGCAGCACAGGGCGTCAGGTGGCAAGAGACAGGGTGTGTGCATCTTCCGTTCTCTCCCTCTTCTTATGAAGCCACCAGTATTCTGTCACGGGCTCCACCTGGGGGATTAACTTTCAACACATGAAACCCTGGGGACACACCATCCCGTCCCACACACACCTACACACAGCTTTTATAGTTTAGTGCACTAAAACCAACGCTGATGATGTTTTGGAGATGAGGACTGCCTTAGTTGTGTTAGTAACAGAGACTGAAAAGTCAAAGGCTTAGCTAATGTAGACTTTATTTTTCTCAACATGAAAGAAGGATGGAGATAGGTCATCTAAATCTGGTTTGCCAAGTCCATAATGTTATTGGGGCTCTTTCTTCTCTTCTTTGCATAGTCTGTAGCTCCTTACTTCAAAACAACCTTATAATCCAAAATGGCTGCTGGAAAGCCAACTATCACAGCAAGAACTTAGCATAGAGGATAAAAAGGAGCTCATTTCTAATTGTTTGTCCCCTGTTAAGGAGATTTTCAGATGACCCAATTAATTCTGCTTACTTCTCATTGCTACCCCTTGCCGGAGGTTCAGCAGGGTGCATTGTCCCTCAGAATAAAATCAGGGCTCATTTTCTGAGACCTGCATTACCTGCCCTACAATGTCACTTATAATTACAGCTTGGAGAGGTGTGTGGCTGGTTCCTTCTAGAAGGCAAATCTTCTAATATATTCCAAGCGGGATTCAAATATTCATTTCCTCTCTTCCAGTTCCATCTGTGTCTTTATATTTGGGAAACAAAGAAGGGGGGGAAGGCACGCGCAGGAGGATACCCCTTGTCCCGTGATCGATGAGGATGACAATTCATGAATAACGGAATTTCTAACCGTGGGGAAAACATAAGCACACTGTACGGTATTGACCTGTCGGGATGGTCTGCCAGTCCCTGGAAGCACCGGTCATCAAGGTTGCTATCCACCTGCAAGTGTTTACGGCGTGACTCTAAAGACAGGGCATCCGAACAGGCCTCCTGTGATTACCCCTAGACGACCACACGTCTGGGTGCCTGGCGAACAGACGCAGCCCAGGGTTTCCTTTTAAACTCCCCCGAAGCTTGTTTTAAATACATGTATGCTTCAATGAAATGTTCCTATTGTAAAAATATGTTCAATGTAGAAAATTTAGAAGATGAAGGTTAGAAAATGAAAGAAAAAAATTATTTTGCCCCCAAATCAAAACCGTCCCCTTTTGGATATCATATCATCAGTGGCAACAAGCACGGTGCCCTCAGGGGCACCCACGGGGACTGTTTATGTCTGGCTCACGCACCTGCAATTTGGCTGGCATGGGGTTGACCTTGGCGGACCAGGACCCACGCTGCTTCCCAGTTTCACATCTGCTCTAAGTGTGTCTCCTGTTCTCTTGGGACTGCCCTGTCCTTCTGTGTCCCTCCCATCGTGAGTGTCAGAAGCTCCTGGTGCTGGGCACAGTGACACCCGCCTGTAATCCCAGCAACTGGGGAGGCTGAGGCAAGAGGATCTAAGCTTGAGTCCAGCCTCAGCAACTTAGTGAGATTTTTGTCTTGAAATAAAAAAATAAAAACGGTGGGGGATGTGGCTCAGCGGTAGAGCCCCCTGGGTTCAACCCCAGGTACCCCAAGATAAATAAGTGGAAAGGAGGAGGGAATAAAGGAGCACCAGCTCCCAGAAAGGCAAGCACGCATGTGTTCTGAGAGTCTGATCTTGGACCCAAGGGCTGACTGTTACCACCTTCCACGGATAAGCAAGATGGGCGCGCGGGGAAATGTCCTTCCCTGATAGTGGGAGGGGCGGGCAGCGGACAGTCACTAGCCTCCTGATACCACTAGCACCTCTCCTGGGCTTTCATAGGAAAACGTGTTACCCGACTCAAGTCCACTACCCTCCTTCCAGAAGGTCATCAGCTCAAGGGCAAGTTGCTGGGGCCGGGCCAGTGATTTGTCAAG